ATCTTGACAACTCTCCTCTTTTTTTTTTTTATTTGACTCTCTCTCCTCTTGGATTGTGTTTGAATTTTAGCAGCCATACCCCTACAGCAGCAAATCAGATTTCTGCAATGGGAAGTTTTCTCACTTTTTCTTCTAGTAGTTATAAGCATATGCAAAGGCAGCTTAGAATGAGTACAGAGTGAAGTTGTATTTATTAATTAATGCCTAATATTTTTGCAGCAAAAGTGACTCCAGATGCCTCTTTTTGATTTGTGTTTTAAACCCTGGTGTAACTTTACACACATGTGTAAGCTTGCAAAATTGAAAGAAAACCATTTCCTATGCAGACAGATACCCCCTTGCATAAATGTTTGCCAAAATAGAGCTTTAGTTGTCATGTTTTCTATATTTCCATAATCTTTTGATTTAGGATTAGTATAAAGTGTATCATGCCACTTATATTTGCTCTCTCTCAAACACTCTGCATTTTCAGTATTTGAATGCTAAGTTAGACAAATTCAACCTTGAAATAAGACACCGTTTCCTAGCAGTAAGGGTAATTAAACACTGGAAGAGCTTACCCAGGGAAGAGGTGGACTCACTACATTTTGGAGTCTTTAAAATGAGATTTTAGAAGCTTAAACAACTTTCTGAAAGACATTATTTAATCCAACTTCTGGGGAAAGACTCTAGTGTACATATACGGGAGGTCATGTAGATGAGACGATCGCCCAAGTCCCTTTTGATTTCTCAGCCTGTTGGCCTAAACCTGAGTTTGGATATGTTTTGGTTCACATTTAAAGATCAGTTATACAGAGAAATTTTCTTTGGGAATATTAAGATTAAATATATTTCAAAACTTTGTTGTCTGCTGTAGACGATAATATTTTGCCTGCTAGGTTTTGCACTGCATTCTCTTTTGTTTCTGTAAGTAGTTACAAATCACAAAGGTTAATGCAGATTAAAATAGTCCAGTATGAGATCACTATGGAGGAATAGAAGGCTTTCAAGCTTAAAGATTCACAAGTGGAACAAATGCAAAAATGATTTCTAGTTTGTTGGCTTCTCAGGTGCAATAAATACTTTTTTTAAAAAAAGCACAATTAATATATTTTTCTAACCATAGAATACTGTGATCTCTTTTGAAGCTTATGCATTAGATTGCATATAATTGCCATCAAACAGTGTGGTAGTATTCTATTCCTCTGAAAGGTAAACAGATTCTGTTTAGCAGTCGTTACACATTTGGTTTGCTGCAGTTCGGCCTTATGAACACCTTATCCTTGTTTTCCCTTTAAAAGGCAAAAATTAAAAGTAAGAACCATTAGGGATTTCTCTTTAAATCCAGCAATCTATGCATACTACTAAGAATCAATGCTCTGTAAGCTGTCTGGTGTTCTGCAATAAATTCTAGCTTTTATAGACTTTTTCTGGGCCAGGTAGCTTCTAATGCCATAGAAATTGATTATTTGTGGTGTTCTTATCACTGCTTAAAATATCTAATTGCTTTTTCTCCACAGATTTGGATTTGGCTTGCTTGATGCTGGACGATTAATGAAGGAAGCCCTAACTGGACAAAGGTTGGTCTCCTGAGACAATGTGTTGTTGATAACAGGTCTGATTTGAGCAAGTCTAGTCAAATTCAATTTTGATAGCATTTAAAGGCACACGCAGGACACATATCGCTGAGTTTTCAATTGGTTTGTCAGGTTTCTTAAGTCTGTTGTGTTATCAAAGCTTATTCCCATTAAGTATTAAAGTTTGCAAAGCAGCAAAGACACATACCTGTCAGCTGCAGAGAAACAAATTTTGCCTCAGTATAGCAAGTTTTGTTCAAAATTTGCCTTTATTCTTTCACACTATGCAGACTGGAATATGTAATTCATCACTGCATGACTGTTCCCATGCAGGAATTATTGCACTGATTATTTTGAACCCTAAAAATTATTGATTGAGGTAAAAAAGAGACAAGAAGGTATTGCAATCAGTTCTCAATTTAGCAAGGGCAGCCTTTTTAAAGGCAGCTAATCCTTAGCCTAAAAGCTGTATGCAGTTGCTACTGCTCCTGTAGGATTTTTCACGAAGCTGTGCCTGTCTCATTTACGTGAAGTACGAAACATTTTCCACTGCACTGCCAAATGAAGATAAACACCAAACATCAAGTAACTATCTTACTGGATTGCTGTATTGAGTGTGAAATTCAGCTCACAACTCAGTCCCAGTTCTAGCTGAGGAGGAAAAAGATCTCATATGCCACCAGAATACTGGACTCCATGATGTCTCCTTTCTCATCAAGTCAAAGCAATGATCTAGAGTTCAGTAGGGTCTAGAGTACTTTCCTCCTTTCAAGAGATCTTTTTTGCTAGAGAGAGATAAACCAGAGGGAAGTGGACCTTGCATCCATGTACCTTGCACCCTGTCTAACCATGGTGCCAGTCTCTCTTTGTCCCCAGAGGGGGTTATTGAAGGCGAGCCTAATGGCCAACTCCCTGGAGGTCTAGGCATGTCACTGCGCATTCTTTTTAAGCACCAGCTCTCAGAAGTGACTGCAGACCCTGGTGTTTGTTGTCTTTTGAACACTGTGTAGGGAAAGGCAGAAATCTCAGAGTGAGAAGCAAAACAGATGGACATGGAAAGCACGAGGTCGATGCTCCAGCTCCAGCATCTATATGTAATCATAGCACTTTTAAGCAAAGTGACCCCTAGCCAGTTTGGGGCCTGGAGTCCTCTCCTTAAGCTGGCACTAACAATATTCAATTCAAATAAATCAATAATGCCATTCTTGTCTTTTGCAGCATTATCACAGTCACAGCAGTCATGCTGTAAACTAATTTTTTATCTAACAGTCTAGTAATGGTTTAGGCAATGTTTCATGTATGAGGACACTCCAGGTCAATTCTCTCTCCAGTCCCAGAGCAGTCAGCCTTGTCACTGCCACCTTGCAGTGGCACCCCTTAGACACAATGCTCTGAATCAGAGTGCTCCCTTTCTGTTGGAGGCATGTAATATTTTAGGAAACAATGTAAGGTTTATTAGTCTGGGAAAAAACAAGAGATACACCATAATTTATTTTTTTCCTGCTGTGCAGGTACAGGACCTAGTTACCTAGGAGGAGCTTACCACACAAGCCAAGGCATGTTTTTGTTTATGCATTTTAGCCAGATTAATGTTAATACAGACTTTATTCAAACAGCTGTTTTTGTGCACCTATGGATCAATGACTTCTGCATATTTTTCAAGCCTTTCTATAGAAAGGGCAGGAATGCACTAGAAATGTGCAGTCCCGTGAGGTCATTGCTTCCCAAAAATTTTTCCTCTGTTCAATCCTGTGGTGATTCTCCAGCAAAGCATTGGCTGAGAGTTACACCCCAGAGGGACAGGAGCACTTTCCCTTTTCTCTGTCAATATTAAATGTAAAAGGCACAGCAAGGAAGTCTGTTTCTCAGCATTGTACCTACTTGAGCCTCCTAAAGGTGTGATTAATTAGGTGTGATTAATTAAACTATGAGTCATGACCTTCTTTTTTTCCTGTCACATTACTTATGAACAAGAGGGCAGTCGGTGACAGTAAATGGTATGAGAAAGTAAGTTTAGAGGAAAATTTAGAAAGAAATCAGTTGTGTTGCATGTGGTCAACCCAAGGGATTTGCTGTTACAGGTGACCACCTGATAAATAGGGTTCCATGGCTGGAAAGAGTAGTTGTTAATGCTTTTACCATAACAGATGGTACCAGTGCTATGTTTCTTGGACTGCTGGGTGCACTGGAAAGGCAGACATGAGTCCTGCTCGGCTAATAAATTAAGATCAAATTCTCCATGTGCTGGGAAGTCAGGCAGGAATGCTGTCCTCCACGGACAGCAGCACTGCATTGTTAGCTTGATCTATGACTTGCCGTTTTGTTGTTTGGTTGTTTGTTTATTTGTCTGTCTTTTTAATCCCTCTGGAAAATACTGTACTGGCTCTCTGTGTTGACTGAATGACCAGGTTTTGGCAGAAGACATAGCATTCTTCTTCTCTGACCTTTATATCAAAATTGATTAACAATAATTATTTTGCGGAAAAGGATTGACAATAAGATGTAGATGTTCATCTTTAACGAACTCTAGTCACCAAGTGAAAATCAGCTAATTTTGATGATGCAACTGACCACCTTCTCAGCAATAGCTGAATATTTACTCCTTCACAAAATGGTAAAGTAATGCTGTATCCATAGAACAACCTTTGGTCTCTCATAATTTCCTGGGACCTTTCTCAGTAGTGGCAGTAGCAGGATGTGCTGGATAGTATTTATGGAGTCAGAAATGGCATAACTTAGAGCCTGTGTAATCCTGTCAAATATTCAGAATTTTTTGTTTATGTATTTTAATCTATGTAAAGTAAGGAGTCCACTCCTAATCTAATTGGTTTTGTTTATTATCAAGTTTGCCATTTTACAGAAGAGTTTACTGGAAGGTGTCTGTTTTATATTGTTCTCACTTCCTCGACAGAAGACCTTATTTAAAAGAATCTTTGTTTTCAATTATGAAAATACTTTCCTGATCTCATCTCATTAAGCCAAAAAAAGACAAAGTGCTGTTTTTCCTTTTTATTTGTGACAATACAAATTAAACACACCTATGGCAAACCAATTACTGTGTTTATTTTTTTTTATACAGAGCAAACCTATTAACTGTGAACGTGAAGAGATGAAGCAAGCAAAAAACAGAAGTGTGAAGAGTTTCGCTGCTGTATCATCTGTGACACTGTATCAGCTCCTAGTTTTAGGATCAATGAATGAATAGGTATATAAGAGATAGACTGTTATTCTACAAAGAATGGTTATTTCAAAGAAATAAAGGAAAAAAATTAAAAGGGATGTCAGTATATTCTCAGGCACCGTATGATGACAATGTTAGAGAGGGAGCTTAATTTGGTGTTCTTCTGGTTTTGAATCTATACAGTGGAACAGTACTACAGAGAGATCTAGATAATAATGTCCTTAATCTTGCCAAGTATTACCATAGGACTAGTATTGTTACTTGTTGAATTTACTCATGTGAGAGAAACCACTCTGTTATATAAGTTAAAGGTTCACATTCTGTCATTCATTTTTTCACTTTACATTATTGATAAAATAGAGAAAAAAAGGGACTAAAGGAGGCAGGAAGAGAAGTAAAAATAGAGGTGAATTAATAGCAAAAATTAAATATTCAATATTTCTTTTAACTGCAGTCAGAGATGGGGATTATATTTGACTAAACAACCAAATTCCCCACCACAAGCCAGGACTTCACTTTTTATTTCAATACTCTTGATAGAAAGGACCCAATCAGATATTCTGTGTGTGCTAAATAGTGTACTACCAAGACTAGTAGACCAAGCAAATAGTTTTGTTTTATTGTCCAAATGGTGTAATATTTTACTGCAAGTATAAATAGCGCACTCATTTGCCTGATCCAAGTTCCCAATGTACTTTATAATAAACCAAGTAATTTTGAGAGAAATATGTTGACCAACCCTAGCCTAACACTATTCACATAGTTCAATACTGAAACAAATTCCACCCATTAAAAAGTCAATGGTATTGCATTTACTTTTACAAGTTGAAAGATAAAGACAGAAATGCAAGAGATGGAGCAATAAGAACCATGTGGTCCCTGCTCTTTAAGGGTCTCATCCAGAGCCTGTTAAGGTAATGCGCATATTCTTTTTGATTTTCACAGACTTTGCATAAGTCAAAAATTATTGAAAATTAAAAACAGGAAAAGAACCATTCTGTTTATATTTGTTAGGTTATATCCATAATGAACTTGTAAAAAATGAAAACAGAAGAAAATATTAAAGCAGATCCAAATATTACATTTATTCTAGAATTCAAGATTACCTCATTTTCTGCTCCAAAGTAAGTGCACAATGTCATGAACACCAGATTTTTCCAAAGCCTTTACTGAAAACATTTCCCATAATGGAATACTTCACTTTGCTTTCTTCTTACAGCTGTTCCTTCTAGAAAAATGCACTTTTGGACAAGTAGTTAGGAATATCAGGGGGGTAGTCTGGAGCAAACCACAACATGAGACACCAAAGCATTACAGATTGCTCTCATGGGAATTGCTGGGTGGGAAGTGGTGGTGGGTCAGAAAAAAAGCCAAAGGAGAGTGTCCAGGAGTGCCCCAGGGATCAGAAGCAGGGCGAAACATCACTCTTACAAACAAAGATTTCTGACCTAACCTAGATTTTCATTTATGGTTAGACCAGACAGATTTTATTCTTACAATGGATTTTTATCTCAGATAAAATCAAACAAGCAAAAGGACTATAAGATTAGATCCTCATTCTGCACCCACCAAAGGAGAACTGAGGAAAAAAGAGATGGAGCGATTTGCTGGGGCAAGATGAGCCCTAGGTTGAAAGAGACCTCCTGTCCTGTTCAGAGGCTGCCCTTTCCTGACTGTGATGTAGAAGAAACACAGCTATCAGTAGGCCCTTGCAAAAACCCTCCACCTGTTTTTGCTCAAAGTGACAAAGCCCAGAGGACAATGTCTGTATTCCCTACTAATCTGTAGGAAGCGTGATGTAGCTGATGCAATTCCTGGCCCCAGCACACCTGCAAGGTCTCATTGATCTGCTGCTCACTGCTCTGAAAACTCAGAAATCTATTATCAGTGTAAGCATGTGCTTATTGATCAGATTACCTGCTTCTGTTCCCTGTGTGTACGTAATTGTACCAGCGTGCATGCACGCACACACACGCACACATAAATATACACACATGTATATGTTTTCATATATACAGGCATGCACACACAGGTTACAGGGATGTGTGTATGTTAAAGGCTTTACTTTTTTTTTATTTAATTTTTTCTTTACAAAACTGCACATAAATAAAAAGAACGGACCTTCTCTGTGAAACGTGAGCACAGGAGCACTCACAAGTGGCCAAGAGCTGCTAAATAATTAATCAATAGAGCAGTGTGGCAGTTTGAAATGTAAATGTGATGGATGAAGGTGTGATGCTTGTCATCAAGCAGAAAATGATGTGACTGGAATGGATAACCCACAGTACCTGCTAACTTGCAAAAGCTTGGACACAAAGATAAAGTAAAGCCATCAGAAAGCAGCCCCGGCAACCCCTAATTCTTGCCTTTGACCCACAATTCACTTTCATGTCTCTGTCCCAGAAGAGATGTTTAAAAAAATGATGAAGAGAGATCTTGGGGTGGGAAAGGGGAGAGAAAAAAACCATCTGAAGAAATGCTACCTGACAAGGCTGCAGGCTACATTCTTGAGAACACCTTTCTTTTCTTTATGTTCCCCTACTCCTGTTAAATAAAAATGCGGCTCTTTTTTTCCCTTTCCTTTCTTCCAAAACTCTCCTGAGCCATTCCTGCAAGTGGTTCTGTGACTCGGGAGCTGACAACAGCCGCGTGCAAAGGAACAAAGAATGAGAGTGACAATTCAGAGTGCACGCAGGTGAGAAAGACACCTTTTACTTATCAAACTAGGCTGCAAAAAATGCTCTTTTTACTCAGTGAGCTAGAAATAGCAGTGATCTAACAAGGCACTGATCCAAATTCTTTATTTATGCTGAGATGTAATGCTAACAGGATTTTTAGGTTGACTAGTAGTCTGTGGCCCCTCCATTCAAGTAAGGAAACATTCCTCTGATTTGGAAAGAGGAAAATCCATATAATTACCGTATATTATGTGACAGGAAAATATATGCTGTGATGGCAAAGGGTGACAGAAAATGTCCATCAAAAAATTTGTTTTCAGCAAACTTCCTGCAAGTCATTGCATTCTCTCCATAGGGAAACGCAACCTGATGGAACTCATTTCTCCAAATTAGAGAGAAATTTACTTTTTTTACAAAAGTGATTTTTTGATCCTTTTTTCCCTATCAAATTGCGAGCTTGCAAGTAGGATTTAAAATTTTGATGGCTCCTTCTCCCTGAAAGAGACAATCCTAAGTACCATTTAGCAGGTTGAGGGATTTTTTGCCTCTTTTGTTATCAAAAGCCCATTCTTTACAGAAAGTGAAAAATGCTATAGTTTAACATTAGATTTTCAAACTCCCCAAAATATACATTAGCAGATAACACCCACTAAAAGTGAAATCTAAATATAGATATATAATAGTGCTTTGGCACACTAAATAGATGTTCTACAATTCTTAGATATAAAATATACATACAAGTATTCTCTTAAAATCTTTGGGGCTTTTAAGACCTCTACAAACATGAATTGGCCGAAAGAAACAGCAGATCTCCACGTGAAGTGACCAGTGTTTTCATATTTCCTCAAATTATTATTTTTACCTTGTTTTTGTTGGGATCATGTTTTTAATCTTTATGATATATTTATACAAGAGGCAGCCAGAAAACACTTAAGTTTTTAACCCAAATTAATTTTAGAAGTCAGGAATTAGAGCTTACATTAGAATAGAAGTCCAGCTGGTCCAGCTCCATAGCAAACAACCTACTTTTGGTCTGGGACTTTTGGTCCTGTAAATTGGCTACCTGGATAAACTTAAACAGAGTGCCATCTACGTACACAGGAAATCACCACACTCCAAAGAAATATTTCCCATTTAGAATGACAAAAACATGGTCTGAAAGGTAATTAAGCTTCAATTTCATTTCTGTGGCATTGTAAATTGTGTTTTCAGATGTGTGCTTTTGGGGCTTTCATCTAGCTCATGCCAAAGCCACTCAGCTGTATATCTTTACCTACATGGCAGGTACATTCCTATTAATTTTTAGTCCTTTTGCCCAGCTTCAGGAATGCAATATCATTATAAGCAGGAATCAGACCATACAATTTGGAGCTATCTGGATACACTAGTCTAGGAGATGGAGGAATGACCCCACACCATACGTCTGGTATGTTTCTGACAGGAAACACTCATAGATTTTGCATTAGACCAAAAGAATTTGGTCTAATGGTTCACAGAGATTGATTTTGAGTATAAGCAATTGCTGTATTGTAGTAATGTAGCAATATTTATGACTCATAGGACTGGTAGAAGTGGAAAAGAACCATTTTAGGTCTATGTTGTCACTAAGTTCATAGAAGGCCATTTCTGTACCTTCAGTCTGTCTCAGCCACAGAGGAACTTAAAATAGGGAAATGACAGATTAGGCTGCAAATGTGCATCAGTCATCCCCAAACTCTGGGAAAGAGATGCACCTACTTCAGGCTAGAGAGAGCTGTGATGCACCCTGTCCTTGTGCCCACTCTGGAGGACCAGCTCGCTAGGACAGTGAGACACGCTCCCACACGAGCTCTGTGCTGCAGAGCTGCCCACATGTAATGTAAAGCCTAGCAGTAGGAGCAGTGGTTCACTGTGGTAGGGATTGTACAGATACACCAGCAATCAGCCACTAGTTTCAAGTATCATAGAAATATAGAGGCACCAAAAAGACTTTGGTTTCTTCACCTTTCAAATTTGCTAGGTACATACAGGAAAGGGACGTAAAAATTGCCCTGAGAAAGGCAGATCTAAAAAAAGACCCGTGTTTTAACCCCAAAAGTGGCCACCAGCAACCGGCTACTGAAGAGAAGAAGCTGGTAACCTCATAGCAGAGTGCTCCAGCTCACTGTCCCAGCCTCCAGAAATTTGAAACTTGGAGACTTCTCAAGCTAGAAAACTTTCTATAGTGATGGTTGGTTAAATATGCACCAGTGACTCTCCTGTACCAGCAGGCTTTGTTTCACCCCAAGTGTTATGCCAAAATAGTTGTATACCATCATGAAGAATAACTGCATTTCCCCAGAGTTGATTTCTTATGGCACTTTTTACTTAGACACTTCCTCAACACCCTCGCAAATATGTTATATATCTAAAGCACGATCTCCTTTTCAATATGAATGGGTATGATTACAGGCATATTCATTTTGTAAAAGGTACAAAAGGATACAAATGTGCCTTTCCATCTCATATAATGTCAAAGTAAGACCCTCTTGCCCTTTTGTTTTGATCTCCGCCATTTGAAAATAAAAAAAAATGACTTGATTATATGTTTTTTACCATTAACTGTATAATTGCTTTTGTGTTTTGACATTTAATTCCTCTTACCAAAATACATGGTAGAAATTAAAAGTCAAATCTTTTATGCATTTGATGTACAGATCCTTCCATGTATTTCAATAAGAGAAATAGAACAGTGAAACCTTGTGTCAAGTATAGGGAAGCCATCTGAAAATGAAGACACTTTTTATACTGGAAATTTGACTATGGCCCCAGTTCTGCCCTCCTTTATCTAAGTCATTGGCTTTTTGAAATTGCTGGAATGTCTGAGTCAAAACCAAGCAAAACCTGCAGGACTTGGCCTTTAAAATAGAGCTGGGATGATACCATGCCCTGTGGGGCAGATTTCGAGATTACAGTCCAGTCTGAAAATTACTTTCGAAAGCCCTAAGAGAGAAGTTGGCCAAGCACTTGAGTGTATTGACCTGGTATGGGATGGCAGTAGTGAGGAACACAGGTCCCAGCAGGGAAGACCAGGAGCCCCTAGGGCATCAGTGAGATGTCTTGGCTGGCCCAAGGCCAGCAAGGCCAGCAGGAGGGCTCTGATGCTGAGAGAGGAGGCAAGCTCTGCAGGCTGGTGAAAAGGTGTGGCTGCACGCAATATGTTGCTTGTGGATGTTTCAGGTGGTTTTTATCTCCCCTTTGTCTCAACTTTCCCCATAAAGTTTTTCCCACCTCATGCACTGTCCTTCCCTCTACTGGATTATTCCCTCTCCTTCTCATAGTTTTCACTTTAACTACTTGTGCCCTTTAACTGAATTCTCTCTCACTCCTTTCTTCTCTGTAGGGCATGCAAAATTCTTCATCTTTACTTTACTTTCTGTTCATACTCATCCAAAACCTACGTGTTCAGATTTCTTCTGGTTGTATTTCCCCCCACTAGTCACAGTACTGTGATTTATCACCATTCACTAAAGTCCTAAAGTGGCTTGACCCTACAGCCATAGCTGAGATTAGTGCCCTGAGATTCAGATTTATGGAGTCTGGCATTGTCTGCAAAAGTTTTCTGCAATCCAGGAAGTAGACACTAGCTGGGACCTCAGATGAACTGAGCTTGGGACTGGATGAGCAAGGAATGTTGATGGCAGGCAGTAATGGCAAACAAGAGCTCAGCAATACTCTTCCCAGTGTTAATATTCTCACCCACAAACTCTTGTCATGCCTTCACTATGCCCATTAACAAAAACTGCTTCTTTAGGTGAATTTGCTCTTGGAGTAAGATTTGTGCTGTCTTTCTCCTTTTCCCAAAGCCAGGGACAAAATTTTTCTTATTTCACCTCAGGAAAAACATCCTCAGCAAAGGTAAAGGACAACACACAAGTATCCAGAAAGAGAAGTAAAGGGAGCAGGAACGAGGTGCATCAGGAAGAAGGAAGTCAGAGAGACAGGGAAGGGGGAGAGGGAGAGAGAGAGAGAGAGACAGCTGAGTATATCTCCACACAACGATTGTGTCACCATATCTCGTGGAGACACACTTCGCTTCCCATAATGAAAGCAGCTTGCATTGCATTGGTGCCAAGCACATGGATGGTAGAAGTTGTCTCCCATTGGCCATCACGTGCTTGCCCTTTGCAGGGGGAATGAGACAGGCTAGTCTTCTCCAGCCCAGCCACGGCTTTCAAGGGCCTCCTTTCCATGCATCCTACTACTGATAGGATTGTAAACGAGAAGCACTTTTCAGGTACATTTTAAAGGTATGTTTAGGCATACACACACGTATACACGCACATGCACTTGAACGTTTTTCCCCATCATTTTGTACATGCAAAGTTGCACATTTAAAATTAAAAGGGAATGGAAAGCCAATAACATGCAAATCATATCATTGGCCCCAGCCCATATCTTTAGGAGAGGCAGAAGGTAGGACTTACAACAAAGAAATGGAGCCAATGACTTTTTTTTTTAAATAATAGAAGTTATTTATTTATACCTGTGTTGTCCAATCTTTGAAGAAGTCTCTTGATTAAAGTTTAGGATCAGGTATACAGAATATCTTGAGTTTGTTCTTGTGAGTAGCTATTTTACCCACAAGGTGGGTGTTATTTGAAAATTCTGTATCTTTGAAAATCTGTATCTTTGCTCGAGGGCTCTGCTTCTCAGTAGTCATCAACTCAAGGAGGTGCTTCAAAGTTAACCACTTTTTTTTTTCTTTTATGATCATGCAATTCTGAAATGGGGGTGTGCAAGACAGGTGCAAATTACTGCTTTCCTCCAGGTCAGAGTGACCGAAGTCTTCAACAGGTCACCTGCTACAGTATTTCACAACACACTTGCATACAAATAAGAATATTAACTAATGCTACTCATAAGGAATTCTCTGTTCACACCAGTCACAGAATGGCTTGGGGTCATTTACCCTGCCCTTTTAAATATTTTTTTACAGTAGTAATGTCAAACAACTACAGAATTTACTGCTTCTTAGCCTGAAAGGGAGATGGTTCTCAGAACAGAGAACTTGAGGAAGATGTTTTCACTCATCTGGAAGCTTTATGGGGCAGATTTCATCCACAGTCCAGAAATAAATGTCACCTCCTTCGAGATTTTGAAACTCAGTGCACATTCAGCCCCAGAAATCAGGTGATGAACCAGAACTTTAGACTCTTAGAAACTGAACACTTTGTGCTTCAGAGAGAATTGGTTTAGTTTTATTTTTTCTCAATTTTTTTCCTTTTTCTTTAATTTTCATGGATGATGTTTTGTTCTGCAGTAAGTTTTAATGTGTGTCACTGTGGAACATTTTCAATTGTCGCAAACAACAACAACAAAAAGCAATATTTCAGTATTTCTCAAGAAAAGGCTTCAAAGGTTTCAGATCTTTTTAAAATGTTTCTGCTTTATTTTGACGTGGCATAAAAGTTTTGTATGCATTCTCGCATCCACTATTGTGACAGCTGTATTTAATGAGTGCAAAATGATCAGAAAAACATCCTTTACTGTGGGTTGCCATTGCCAGCAGATGACAGGAGAGAGGCAGTACTGTAATAACAGAAGCGATGAAGTAGTTCACATTATTACTGATGAGGTATTTCTAACTCAAATGACTAGGTATGCCTTTTGGAAATAATGTATTGGTCACATTACCTGATCTTCTCATCAGATTCTGTTTCCAAGTGCGTTTCGAAAAAAAAATTCTGCATCCTTAGCCTCAGGTAGTTATGTGGTTGGTTGCGACATATTATTTGGGGAAAACACAGTTTCCGTAAGATGAAGAGGGAAAGGTCCTGGTCTTGCCTATAAATACCAGCCTTTCCATCAAACTAATGCTAAGCATGAAGTGCAGATCCACAGATACACTAGAAATGAAACATCACACAATACGTTTGATTTCTATTTTATATGCGTATTTAATATCTGAGTATTTTAGTCCAAATTGGAAAGAGTATAAAAATAAATCTAAATGGATTTGAAAGGCAGGGTATTTCTTTTTTCAAAGCTTCATCGTTCCTGACTTCCTCTGGTGACTGTTAACTTATCATGCCTTTGTACAGGAGATCTAAGTGTTTCATTCTCTCTTGTGTCTCCATATGGTACCATTTCACAGATAGTCTTCCTTTGGTCGCAAGATGACAGTGAGAATGGATTGTCAAACTGGACCACTATGACAATTTACTCTGGGGGGAGAAAATCCTGTGGGTGTTTAGAAGCTTTAGTGTAAGTTATATTTGATTAACTTATCCTACTACTGACAAATAATTAGGTCAGCAATTAATTTCAAAATGCAAATGTGCTACAGGCCTTCATGTTTTAAGAAATTCCCTTTGTCTTTAGTTTCTACTTGTGTTAAAGTCTTAAATGGATTTAGCTGAGTGAAGAAACAAAATTATGTTTTCTAATGCTTTATTTACTAGGTTGATTTGGACTTTTTCAGCAAATATTGACAGCAAATGTTTGTTCAGAAATGATCACGTGGGATGGAATTTAATGGAGTAAGAAAACAACAGAGTAATGATGAACCACTAATTTAAAATATATGTACATCTTCCTTCATGGAATAGGAACAGAAAGACAAGCCAGAGGGTCAGGAGCAGATCATCACAGCAAAGTCATTAGTACCTGCTTAAGCAGTCTGAGAAACCACAGTATATTGGAAAAAAACCAGTGCTTAATATTGCTACCAGTGTGGCTGAAAGAAACCTATCAACCAGCCTATCTCAGGGTCTTTATTATTAAACAAACACAGATTAAAGGCTCAGCCCTTCCCGAGAGAAGCTCAAGGGAGTTTTCTGTTGACTTAAAGGGAGTGAAGCCCCTAAGTTTTCTGAAACTAAAATCATGCAGTTTTTTAGAAAATAATCAAAATATGCAGATGCAAACAAATCCAAGCAACTATCCTGATGTAAAATCTGAATGAATTTACATAGGTGAGAGAATTACATTAGAATTTACTAAAAATTTATTTGTTTAATTGTTTCAGGTCAAGAAGGAGAGCAACCACTCAAGAACTGGATGAGGGTTTTTTACAAAATTTTTAATGACCCAAAGATGAAAGCCAGGTTTATTATACTTAACTATGCAAACCACTTTGGAAAAAATAACTATTAAAAAAAAAAGTCAAGGTTTGTTTTTTCTGGGGTTTTTTTGGTGCAAAATGGTACTTTTACATCATATTCACTTAAATTAATAATGTAAATAATTATGTGAGGACAAAAAATCCAGAAAAAAAAGATAAAACTAAACATTGTATTTTTACTAGATTTTCATTTTGGAAGGAAAACAAAAGGAGAACTGCATGGGGTAAAAAGTATGTGTCTCACCTACACCGAAAAAGCTTGGTCTCCAATCTCCTCTGAAGGATTACATGCAGGACCTTTTTTCCATCTTAAGCAGCATCTGAAGAACTTTGATGGTTTCACTAGGTAGGAGCAGGCAACACAAGGCTGAAGCTTGATTTTGAGTGAGGGAGAATCTCTCTCTTTTTCCCCAGAGCTGTGGGAAATAAAATCAGAAATAAAACTGGATATGAGCGGGATGAGCAGTTGGGAGCTGTGCAGACAGAAGCTTTCTTGTAAGATAAGGCAGTGCTCATGCTGTTCAGCTGTACACTGGCATGGACCCCCTTTAAAGCATCACTTTTCAAAAAAGATACGGCTGCCTTTAAAACTGTCCAAAGGAGAGGAATGGGAATGATCAGAAGTTTGGGAAATATCACCTGCAAGAAAATCTGAACTGGGGTGATTTCATCTGGAGAAGAAAATGAGTGGACATAAAAACCAAGGCCTTCAAATGTTAAAAGTCTTCTGCAAAGAGGCAGGGAAGAGTTTGTATTTCAGGACTACAGCCAAATGACAGAAGGGTACAGTCCTACATTGAAACAAAGGAGAGTCGGGTCAAGTGTTGGTAAAAATTTTCTCACAGTGAAGACATTGAAGCTGTGAAAGGGATTGTCTATGGAGAGTCTGGAGTTCCCCTCACTGAAGACTTTTGAGAATAGGCTGCACAAACTACTTTCCAAAATAATGTGAATATTGTTTTTAGTGGAAAGTAATTCCTTAGCAGATATTACATTAATATTTTTAATTGATTTTAAGAAGCTGACAGAACTCCTGCTTTTGTGGTCTTATAAATAAACTTTTAAATTAATTTTAGGGAAAGAAGTATCCTGTGAATGCTCAGCACAGCTGCCATTATGAATGAGAGCAATTGCAATGGGGTTTTTCTGCTGAACCTGGACAAATAGAATGGTCCAAATGACCAAAGTTGAGCTCATTAAAAAAAAAAAAAAAGATTTCAGTGATGGATAAGCTGGCATTAAACACTATAAAATAAAGGAAACCAATATGCCAGAACTCGATCATTAAAGTCGGAGTATATTCAACAGCTTTTAGAATCAGAATCATGATGACTGTGACTAAGCAAAGAAGTACGAAGCAAAGCAATCTCAGAATCTGTCCTAATGTTAATATCAATTTGATATAATAGCAACCTGGCAAAGATATATAGAACATTACTGGTATAATGCAAGTCTGAGTCAAAAAGATTATTTTTTCCAGGTAGTATCTGTACATTTGATGAAAAACATAAATAACATAAAAAATAAATTACCCTTAAATTTAAAAAATGCCTCATGTTGTTTAAAACATAAGTCTTTCAAATCAGAATGATCTCTGGAGTCACCTACATAAGTGTTAAAGTATGTAATAAGGTAGAAGGAATTTTGAAATATTGTCACACTAAAATTAGGACATTTCACATTATTTTATTAATTAATTTTTATCTGTTTGCATTGAAGTGACCACACTAAATATCGTGACTGCCTTACAAAAGCCTTCTGCTGGCATCCCTCTCCTTGGCTACTCGTGTGCTAGCATTCTCTCTTTGTCTCAAACAGGAGCAGCACATCCTACCTCACACAGTCTGTCTTTCTCTCCTTCTGTCATCCTTGGGAATGGAGAGATTTTCCTTATCCTGTAAAATGGTGATTGAGGATTGCCTTGTGGGGATCAGAGGGGCATTTCCCCTGGGATTGCCAGGCAATGACTCAGGCCTGACGAGTATTTGTTCCTCCTGTCATCCATTCTGAAGGGCATAATCCCAAGGAAATCAGTAGTTTTAATATGGACTTTGAAGGCCAGATATGCCTAAGAACATAAAGGTGATTAAGAAATTATTCTACTGAAGCTTTCCCAACAATCTGGGGTTGACTTTTTTTGAAAAACAAATCAAAATAAAAATGTCTTGCTTTGTTTTTCATGAATATCAGATGACAAATCTTAGCCTTTTGTTATGGTCTAAACCACATTTGGCATACAACTGCAAACACAGGTTCCAACTTAGGTAAACTTGTTACACGAAATCCTGCCAGTGGTGTCATCTGGATCCTAAGTGTAGTTTTGAAGTTTGCTTCATTCTTTTCTTATGTCAACTCCAGTAAGGCTTGTTCATGTATATGTAAACTGTGGTACAACTGTCTTTTTTAAATTAGTGTAATTCACAAGCTTTATCAAAAAGAAAGTTTGATTAACGTTCTGCTTTGATAAAGTTTTTTCTTTGTCATAGTATGCTAACATCTCTTTTTTGTATAACAATGTAGAAGTCAGACTCCACAGACTATTTGGTGTCATCTCAAAGCATGTATCCCCTCTTCACCTCGAAGCAGCCCAACAATCTGTCTTTGAGTGCCTCCCATCATCTTGGGTGTCAGACACTAGGCATCCCTTTGTTTCAGGGGCCAAATCTGCAAAACAAGGAAGCAGACACAGACTCTAAAGGACCCACTGCCTTTCAGAACATGGTCTCAGCAGAGTGAGGAGCAAAGGGGTAGCTTATGACTCTTGAAAATCCTCTTCAGTGCTCCAAAATCCCCACTTTAAGTGTCATAATCACTTGCTGGTGTTAGCATCACTTTACAGTTACCACTGAAGAGTAACAGAGAGAAGACGGATGCCTTAAGTCAGATGGGACACTTTTTTGAGGAATAGTGTAACCACATGCAAGCCAACCAGCAAAGCAAGAGTGGGGAAACAGAGGGGAATTCATTACCTAGAAATAACACACACTGATCTGGGAAAGGAGGTGAGGGGAGCGGCTTCTTTTTCCTCAGAAAACACACATTGCAGCATCTTCATCCTCATAAGAAACAAGTGTGAAACCTTGAGAGTGATTACCTTAGCGCTGCTCTCTTCCTTACCACCCTAGTCAGCCACCCATGACAACAGAGCCAGTTAGAGAATCCCAACTGGCAAAAGGATTAAAAAAGAAAAAAGTAAAGTGGAAAAATGCCTCAGGCCCCACACATGTGACTTCACAGCAAAACCTGGAGCCAGCCCTGAGGGGTCTGGTACAGAGAGTGAAGTAATGTGACTATGATTAGGATGTGTGAAAATTAGAGGCCCTCTTGTTTTAAGAAGGCAGGTTATCTACCAAGCCTGCTCTATACTTCTTTCTACTGTAATGTGGGGAACAAAGGCTGTCTGTAGAAGATTCTGTATTTCTCTACCCAGTCTCTGTCACTTAGAGCTTTTTATGCTAGACTTGTTTTAAAGACTTCAATTTAAACGAACATGAAAGGTCCTTAAACAGTAAATAGCATATTATATCAAAAACAAATAGATTAAAAAGTGAGCAACCATAGCCAGTATATCTTTTTCCAGAGTTATTGCACACTAACTAAAACTGTAAGACTGGCAGATCTGGGCCAGGGGTTTGTAATGGGCCTTCTACTTTTTTTTTTTCCTTCCCTCTCCAGTGATAAATAATCAGTTTTAGAGAATTGATAAAAAGAGACAAGAATGAAAAGTGAGTATGACACATTTATGAGACGGATTTTTCATCTGTTTCTTAAACACAGCACCTTTATTTCAGATTGAATTAAAAAAAAAAGACAGGAGAGCCAACCTATTTATGTTGTGCTGCAGTAGTGAATACATATGAATGTACGGAGCACAGCCAGAGAGAGCCAGAAAATTCACCCAAAATTTCCTGACAAGTTGAAAAAAGTTATGTTATCATTCAAGAATCATTTATTTGAAAAAGTAAAATAAAAAACAGGCCACATGATAGAGGCAGCAGAGGATAAAAACACATTGTTTCCAGACGTAGCCCCATGAAAAACATATGACTCGGGACTCTGAATTCAGAATATCTTCGTATTTTAAATTTCTATGAGCACTTTCAAGAAAAGCTGGAGTTCTGCTGTAGGATTTGCTGCACACTTTTCACTACTGATTGATAACAAGAAGTAGCATTAGCAGTATTTTTCCCCCATCGTTCCTCTGAAGCTAATGAAGTCAAGGATTCGTTACTTGATCTAATGGCAATAGCTTTCCAATAGACATGCACAGAATCATTGATTAGTTTGTCCTCTCCTTGTTTGCGTTGGAACACTGTTCAATTTACACCAATTAAAGAATGCTTGGTTTGTGTATTGAAGAATAATTAAGGGATGGAATTCCCTATAGGCTACTAAAAATGACATCTGACTGGAATGGTGATTACACCATGAAGACAGCATTAGTATTTAAATAGTTTGACTGCTATATAAAATCATTACAGCACTCACCATGAAAAAGAGCATTAGTTAATTTTGCCTATAACAAAATTAGTTGTATGTATTTGCCTGGTCACTTTAAGTAAATTTGACAAGGCTAATCTTAAAGCAAGCATTCCAGGTTTGGTGGAAGGAGCAGATAGAGCACTGTTTAAAGTAATCATCTTGATAGATATGTATATAATCTTCAACCAAAATACAAATACACACAAATGAATAGCAGAGCTTTGCCAGAGATGCTCAAATCAAATGTAAACATTAAAAACACATCGGCTGCTGAAACTGAAAATCCAAGGGTAACTGGCATGTTAATTATACAACAATCAAGGTTTCACAAACTGTAAACACACAAGAAATCCTTATTTGTCCACCACTGTGGTTCTCAAACCTTTACTATGCTTTCTAGCACTGTATGGAACAAGGAATCACGGGAAGCAAACAAGCACTATGGAAGGACTAGTAGGACTAGTAGGACTCCCTTGTGAAATATCCCAAAGGATTATAAATACTGCAGTGGCCTAGTACATCCATGTAACACCTTCTCAGACAAGCTTTGTTTTTTCTTTGGATTACAAGGTGGAGGTTCATCCTTGAAAATACTGTTGAGGAAAGAGAGCTTTTTATCCTCTATTTAAATTTCTCCCAGGCGTATTAAATTCTATCTCCTAGCCTCAGATTATAGTATCTACAGT